GACGAAGGTGTCGACTAACTCCCCGTCCTTCTGCTTCTCATCGAGCAACGATCCGATAGATACCTCAGTGTCGTCGTCGAAGAAATTGGCAAGGAACTTGGTCTCCATGTCGTCCCAGCTATTTAAGCTTGAAGGCGGCTCCGCGAAGAGTGCCGACGAATGACCGCACCATCAGAGGCTCATTGCCGGAAATAATACCCAGGTGCGATTTGAAATAAATCAAATGCTGAGTGGGGGAACCCTTCCCATCGAACGGCGTGAAGTTGATTAGATTGAACTTCGCCGGATATGGGATCGATTCCCACTCTCTTGGGTATGGACAGGGAATGCCTGTTTTCTTCGTCTCTTGAGCGGAGATCAATGTGTTGATTTTGCTCTCGAGGTTTTTGATCTTCAAGTCTTCACTTGTATCTTCGTTGGCATCCTCGTTACCACCCCCTGCATTGACGGGAGGGTTATTGGCATTGTGAGCTTCATCCCTATCCGTGTGCTCCTCTTCCTGAACAACCTGGTTACGGTGGCTTGGTTCACCTCGCTGGTTCGTCAGTGCCTGAATTTGTTGGTCATGCATTTCTCTCATAGTCTGCATGGCCATCTGCATCTCGAACCTAAAGCTTTCCTGTTGTTTGGCTATGGCATCTTCGAGCATCTTGGCCACTTGTTCCGCGCTTATCATCAGTGACTCGCGGGGTTCCCCCCTCACTGGACACTGTATTATCTGATGTGACTGCGGAGCAGGTATCCGACTCATCACCTTCTGAAGGTACTCTTGTCCGAACCCTACCATAAGTTCCTCGTGCGATTGCTCCAGACTGCAAACGGATTAGACGCCGGGATGCTTTCAGAATCGACTCGAGATTATCCCGTGATGAGGTCTCTTTGCTTGTCATATTAGCGGTGACCCTCGGGAATTCTTCATCTTCAACCACCGTCCTTCTTTGCCGAAAACGCCTACGCCTTGGTTTTGGCATTTTGGTACTAAGCCTTTCGAACACTGAAATTCTCTCGGGGACTACCTTGATGCAGTTGCACTCAGACAGTACTGCCCGAATGAGCTTTGAACAAGGGCACTGAGTTTCTGGACTCCTCTTCCTGGTTCTATTCGTAGCCCCAGCACGATAGTACAACTCGTCATTTTGACAGTCGGAGTAACCTATCGTGTGCGGGCACGACTTCTCAGGTATAACACTATCACTATCAGATGATAATGTTTCCATCTGAGGTTGGATTGCCTTCTTTGGGCTTTTAAAAGTTACACGCCTCGAAACGTGCCTTTGTGGGCGCGAGTCTTCAGCGTGCTCTTGGACTTCGATGCGCAAGTTGGTGAGCGCAGCTGCCTTGAGTTCTTTGTTATACTGGAGTTGACGGCGACCCCCAGGGTGTTGAGTCGTTCTAGGATTCTTCATCGGGCCCAAACGCTCGTGAACTGGAGCCTTGCCTCTCTCGTCGGGAATTGGACCGAGGCGCTCCAAGACTGGCTTTCTCCTTCGGGAGGATTCTGCATAATCTCCCGGAGTAGCTATGGGAATTCTCGGCGACTTAGCTTGGTTCGCCGGAGGTTGAATTTTGGTTGGAGGCTGCAGTTGCTGCTTTTTGGTCTGAACCGCCGCTTCAGACTTCGGCCTCCAAACTTTGCGAGTTGGTGGCGGCTTCTTGGCTACCTCTCTTTGCAACTTTCTACGGGCTTCTTCGGCTTGAGCCCGTGCCTGCGCTGATAGTGCGCGGCGCTTGCGAATACGCTCCTCCAGCGTCGATCGGTTCCGTTTGACACGGACCCATTCCATTGTATTCGTTGATTGTTGAGGCTGCTTGCCTCTTTTGTTCTTCAGATCCACGTTGTAGCGGATCCCGTCAACTGACTCCATGGCCTTTGCGAATCGTTTCGCAAGGCGTTGACGTTGCCTTTGGCGGGCTCTCTTCGAGAGAGTCACCACGCCCTCTGTGGCAGAAGAGTTGGTCAGAGCAGATCTGACCTGGTTGGAAACTGGAGGAATCTCACCCGATCAAACGGGGCGAGATCTTCGTTGGTGGCTTCGACATCTTCATACCAACGAACCTTTCTCCTAGAGGAGAACTTCTGGGATTTGCGGGGGGAGGTTGATCCAGACGAGGACAAGTATTCCTCGAACTTAGTTTGGTCGAACTCGTACTCAACCTCCTCCACGACCGGAATTGAAATCCGTGGCTGCGACGCATCGATCTCGTCAGCGAGATCGTCGGCACCTACTGTGGTCGCCAGATTGTTCGCGGGAAAAATTGTTGCTTTCTTCATTAATGATTCCATTGTACACTCT